GTTAGTTCAAATTATTTTGATGGCATCATTCCTGTAGAAATTTCATTTTTGAAGAACCTGCAAACTCTTATACTTGATTATAATAGATTCACAGGGCAGGTTCCTGATTGGATTGGTTCATTTCCAGCTTTAACCGTTCTGAGTTTGAAGAACAATTCATTTACTGGGCAGTTGCCAAATTCTTTAACAAGTTTGGGAAATCTAAGAACTTTAGTGATTTCTGCAAATAATCTATCTGGGCAAGTGCCTGTTCTTGAAAACTTGACGAATCTTCAAGTTCTTGATTTCTCAGACAACAATCTTGGACCCCAGTTTCCTAGTTTGCCCTCAAAGTTGATTTCTTTGGTGCTCAGGAAGAACAAGTTCTACTCTGCAATTTCTGATAAATTAAGCTCTTGTTACCAGCTTCAGAAACTGGATATCTCGCTAAATGAACTTGTTGGGCCATTTTTGCCATCCCTTTTGTCATTGCCTTCACAACACCGTCAAAGTATGACTGTCCTCATATAAGGTACCATGACGACCTCAAGTCAAAGGACCAATTCTACTACCAAACGTTAGAAATTAACCACTGACACTCAGATAGTTATCCATGTGAAATCTCTCGGCGGGACTCCAATGTTTTGTTCTATAACAAAACATACACATGTCATTTAAGTGTCACTACACTTTAACTTGTGAGATCAGCTACATACTTCACAAGTAAGAAATGTCACACGTGATAGTCTATCCGTAATAACAATATCCGTATCTCGTTATTATTTACGACCACGAACGATTTAAGATTCAATCAAATGTAATTTGTATCTCACAATCACAACTCCTTGTGATTAACAAATTACGAAGATTTGAATCTGCAGACTCTATTATTTATTTAATTGTCTATTAATCAAATAATAAATCTGCCATTAAAGTGCATTAAATATATATCAAAAGTATTTATGACCAAAATTAATTGAACCTAGGGTATAATACTTGCAGTAATCACATCCTGTAAATTTTCAAACATAGATGTTGGGCGGTAGCCCAATGAGTAAGGCAATGATGAGAAGGGCTTGGCCCATGTTCCTATACTACAGCCCAATTGGTAAAACTGAAGAAACCCGGATGAAACCCAAGCCCACATGTTGACCCTGATAAGAACGGATTTGGTAAATGCGACTTTGGTTGTTTTACCTAATATCTAAAAATGCAAGTTTCTCTGGGCTGTTGGATGAAATGATACCATGATCTCGATATATATTCTTTGGTGGAAAATGTAAAGACGAGTCCTTTCATTTACTTCATTCCGTCGAGGGTTTTCTAGAGCGTTCTATTCCTTTTCTCCTTCAACTTCATCTTCATCATTGATGTTTGTTTTCTCTTTAATCAGTTTAGAGAGTGTGTTCTTTGTGAAATTTGTTGAAAAAGAGTATCAAGATCGATGGTAACGATGAGTCCTTCAGGTCCATAGAAGAGACCGCACGTTCCTGTGGATTCTTGAGTGAATTTGAGTTTTTCTGTGTTGACTTGAAAGGATTTTTTGGTTTTGAGCCTTCAATCTATGATATGTTGATGTCCAACGGGTAGTGTGATAAAGTGTTGTATAGGTCGAGTCAATCTATTATTGTAATCTTGTTTTTTGTACAATAATAGATTTGCGAGGAAGAAGCAAAAAAAGCTAAGCAGAAAATAAGTAATTGGCTTACCCAAAGTAGACCAATGATGGAGTCCTATATTGCTCATGAAGTGTTAAAAGTGCATACAAAAAGTGTTGCTTGGCGCTGCAGATGGTCCCTACACTCTCCATGCTTGGCAAATGCATATTCGTCAAGTGGGAACATCCAGCGCAACCATGGGACGTGCTCGGCCATGGAAAGAGATCCGCTGATTTTTATACCATTTTCACCAAATTCCTTTCCTTGCTCATCTAATATACCTTCAGAATTCATACATTGCTTCCCAAATGCAAGTCTTGTTAGGTTCTCGAACGCCACATCTCCTAGATATTTCTTCACTAACAAGCTCCTCCTCAAGTTTTCTATATAAATTACAACTTTCAGTAGCTTTTCACTAGAGAAAAATATCAAAAACTAATTATAAACATACCAAGATTAGCGCAATGTTCATAGATAGACTCCACCATAGCCGTGACTTCATCTTCTCTGAGTGGCCTCAAAGCCTCAATCCTTCTAGGAGAAAACAATTAAAGTGTACAAACCTTTCTGACTTTAACATAATGTGGTCCATAATCAGCCCAAATTAAATCGTCTCTGTCTCCGCTAAATCTAGCAGAGGACCACTTTTGTGCCTATCTGCTAACTACTGATCGTTTTCTTTCTGTACTTCTTTGCCAAATCTGTGCTAGAAATCATAAAATTTAGAGTTGAACCAAATTAGACGGATATGATGGGGCCATAGGACTCAGCCCACCGTGCCGGCTCGTCGGGTGCTGGCTCCGCCCTTGTAGACTAGTACGTTTCACATTTCATGCACCAAGTGTCAATACAGTTCACATTTTTTGACACATTGACCTAGAAATAAGTACACACTAACCCGACTGTGGGACCTAAATCACCTTTTGAACATGTAACTGGGTATGAAGAGTGGATTTCTGATGTACATAAAAGTTTGATATGGAGGAGGATATTACTAGATCTTTTCTTCCATTACAAATAGTGAAGTAACCATAGCCACATATAGGTGGACAAGCTGGATAAAAACGATCAACCGGGTCATGGTTGGGCAATCGGGTTTGGAGCTGTCTGATTGTGTTAATGGATCACAAAGGGAGACAATGGACAAAACAGATAGTTTGATCATGTATTTGAACCTCAAATTTTGAAGATATTGGGCTGACATGAATTCTCATCTATTGGGCTTATTTCTGGCCCAAGCCCATTTGGCCTTTTCTAAGCAGACCAATGTTACAGTTAGTGGGCTTAACGCGTCCCTTTTGTGTGAAGTAGTACATTTTGACGGAACCACTTTAACAATTCAGCCCATTGTACCACACGAGACTGTAGTGAGGCATTCAGGATTTCCAGGGATTAATTTGCAACATGTAGGAACCAGTTTGACACACGCAGAAACATTGGGGACTTATTGGAAATTTCTGGAAATATAGGGATTGAGATGCGTAGAAAGGAAAAATTCAGGGATCAAATTGCAGTTTCCACAGAGTTGAGGAACCAATCCGAAAGTTCTGGGAACTCTTTGCATAAAACAGAAAATTCGAGGACAGATTTGAAAGATAATAAAAGATTCAGGTGGGATCAACTTTCGAGAGGTAGTTGCAAACCTCGCGGTCTCAATTGAAAACAATAAAAACAAAAGTTATTCGTAATTTAAAGAAAAAATAACGACGTTCATTCAATAAGACAATTTAGAAACAAGTCGACATACTATGTTTTTAAATATTCATAATCATTGTGTTCTATTAAATTCTCGTAGGAAATCCTAAAAACAGGGCATGTGGATGACACCTATTGAAAAGGATATTTCAAACTATTAATAAACCTAAAACAGTTTACATTTGTTATCACAGGGGTCGGGTTCCGCCTTTACTCAGTGGCTCACCACTACATGCAGTAGATTTGGCAACGATTGCATTTATCCCGTCACATAGACACCTAGGTGGGAACATTTTCCCAGACGAGACTCTTCTCCAATGAGTGAGCATGATTATGCAGACTATTACGATCCAGAAATATATTAGTCCAGACGTATGAATTGGTTGATAACTTTATCTTCCTGCCCGAAGATTTATCTTCAAGAGTACCCTTAAGTAGTCTTCACTAAGTCATTGTACACATTCTATTTATTGTTACTTTCATTTAGTTTTGAGACATTTGTTACATTGTTCATTTATAGGAGTTCAGGTATGTGGCCTCTCCTTTTATGCGTTCTTTCGATTTTTATGATATAAAATAAGCCAAACTAGTGACCTTTAGTGGGAAAAAAAAGTTCACATTTTTTGAAATGCTGAATTAGTCCATATTAAGCGTCCATGTGATTTGACATTTGCTTGCTTATACTTTTTGTAGAAGAGCTTCTTGAAAAAGATATCGTTTTTCTAAAATATTCTTCTAATCAGATAAAGTATTTTCAGATAGGTTCGAAAACATTTCTTAATCTCATAAATAACTTTTAACTTTACAAATATCTTGTTAAAGTCTAAAACCGACCGTGTAAAATATGGTCTTAAATAATCGTTTTAACTTGTAATATGGTATGGAGGGTGGATTTCGTTATCAAAAAGTACATCGCACGTCCGTGACCAGAAAGGTCCACTTCTGATGAATAATTTCCAACTTTTTTATTTTTCACACAGAGGACAGAATTTCTTCTTTATTTTTTTTATTTTTTTTCAGCAACAGTAGCTATCACTAATCAGAATCATTGTCTTTGCATGTCTGCAATAAGATCATGTGAATTTATTTTGGACATTATTGCCTTCTTTTTCTCTTCATTTCCAATAAAAGAAAAAGAAATATTAATTTTTTGTGGCCCCCAGATGTTCTTTTCATACACGTCCTTGTACAGATGTTTTCGTTGTGATCGATTGATTATACCAATTGACAATGTCTTCTCAACCGCTAAGATTTCTCGAATAATTGGCCTAGATGGTAATATATTTCTATATTTCTTGATTAATTTTTGTCTAAATTTAATAAAAATAAAACTTAATTTTAAGAACAGTGTAGAGAGAAATAGACATTCTGACTGTTGTAGCTTGTTTCCTGTACTTGTGAAATAATTAATTACTCAAATGAGTTGCCGAGACTGGTTTGCTTCGGGCATTGTAGAAGCTCACATTTTCAATGTACCTAAGATGCTTTTGTCGCATAAATTAATTATTATTTTTTGATGATTTTACTATTAGAAAAACATTTTCTTCTACTGTTCTGTTCTGTTCTGGTTTTTTGTTCTTTAGCTCATCTCCACCTGTGACTTGTGGCATATCTCCAACCACCTATAGAGACATATATACACGTGTATGAAAGAGATTCTGTCAAATACTTATCATTTTATCATATAATTAAAAGCCAAAATTATTCCAAGAATTTCTGGGAAGATATTTGAGTAGTTCATTGATTCATCATTCGGAAGTTCCTCCAGGTTTATGCAACACTCCAATGTCTAAACAAGCTCCACTTTTTCATCTTCTTTTCTTATTGTTTTCTCTTCTGCCTCATTATTCAAATCAGTCACAGCCATCACAGTACCAGGCATTATTGAGAATCAAGCAGCTTTTGAATTTCCCAGAAGAAATTAGCAGCTGGAGTGATAATTCAGATTTCTGTAACACAGAACCAAGCCAAATTATAACACTTTCATGCTATGAAGATAGAATAACTCAGCTTCATGTTACTGGCAACAATTGGTTTCCTCATCTGCTTCAAGATTTCTCAACTGTTTCGTTGTTTTCAAGTCTTGCTAGTTTTCCTGACCTGAAAGTTCTGTCTTTAGTTTCATTAGGTCTAAAAGGGCCATTGCCTTCAGAAATTGGAAAGTTATCATCTCTGGAAATAATGAATGTTAGTTCAAATTATTTTGATGGCATCATTCCTGTAGAAATTTCATTTTTGAAGAACCTGCAAACTCTTATACTTGATTATAATAGATTCACAGGGCAGGTTCCTGATTGGATTGGTTCATTTCCAGCTTTAACCGTTCTGAGTTTGAAGAACAATTCATTTACTGGGCAGTTGCCAAATTCTTTAACAAGTTTGGGAAATCTAAGAACTTTAGTGATTTCTGCAAATAATCTATCTGGGCAAGTGCCTGTTCTTGAAAACTTGACGAATCTTCAAGTTCTTGATTTCTCAGACAACAATCTTGGACCCCAGTTTCCTAGTTTGCCCTCAAAGTTGATTTCTTTGGTGCTCAGGAAGAACAAGTTCTACTCTGCAATTTCTGATAAATTAAGCTCTTGTTACCAGCTTCAGAAACTGGATATCTCGCTAAATGAACTTGTTGGGCCATTTTTGCCATCCCTTTTGTCATTGCCTTCACTTACTTACTTAGACATTGCTGATAACAAGTTCACTGGGAAGCTTTCACAGAACATCTCTTGCAATACAGAACTGGTTTTTGTAAATTTGTCCGAGAATCGTCTAACTGGAGAATTACCAGATTGTTTGCATAAAAATTCTAAAAGCAGGGTTGTTTTGTTTGGAGGGAATTGTTTATCTACGAGATACCAACAGCAGCATCCGTTTCGATTTTGTCACAACGAAGCGTTGGCAGTGGGAATTTCACCTCAAAAACAGCTGGAAAAGAGGCCTTACGGGAAAGCAGTTCTTGCATCAAGTATGGTAGGAGGGATTGTTGGGGCAACGGCAATTCTTGGCCTGGCCTTTTTGGCTTTCAAAAGAAAATTTGATAAGCAGCAGGAAAATGAAAAATTTCACACAAGACTGATAGTGGATAAGATCTCACCTGCATACACACTTAAGCTGCTAAAGGACGCAAGTGAGTTCTTCACATTCTTATTATCTTTCCTCCTCCTACTCTGTTAACTTCGATAGATGCATGTGTAACTTTGTTCTGATTGAGAAAATTGCTCGATAGATTTTCATATTTCTGTCTTCATTCCACGAGTCAAATACTTTCGCGTAATTGAATATAATTATTTCCTTGCATAAATTAATGAACAAACAAGAAATTCTGAGTTCTGCAAGCATAAATCATACGCATCAATCTGAATGCTGATTACTGACAGGGTATATATCTGAAACCATAAAATTGGGAGCGCTTGGCATTCCGCCCTATAGAACCTTTGTTTTGGATGAACTTAAGGAGGGCACAAATAATTTCGACGCATCAAATCTTATTGGTGAAGAAACTCATGGACAGGTACACTGCTACATTAATGTGCAACCTAACTTACTGTATGTGAAACTCGGTGGAGGCCATCATTTGACTTGATTATATAATCAGGTTTACAAAGGATGGTTGACAGATGGTACTCTTGTTGCCATTAGAAGCTTGAAAATGAAAAAAAGGCATAGCATCCAGAGTTACACCCACCAACTCGAGCTGATATCGAAACTCAGACATTCTCATCTAGTTAGTGCAATTGGCCACTGCTTTGAGTGCCATAAAGATGATTCAACTGTCAGCAGAATTTTTCTCGTTTTCGAGTATGTGCCAAATGGAACACTTAGAAAATATATATCGGGTAAACATAAGTTTCTTTACACTTAAGCATTGACAATCTAGAAGTAGGTTGCTTTCAAATCTGATAGGGAATTCATGATCCCGTTCTTAATTTATTTCTAAATTATCTTTTGGTCATCTGAAATTCTAAATATAGGATAAAGTGAGTTTATTAATATATGATGATACTTCAAATTTTGGTTTAACACTTGAGTTAACAGAGGGACGTTCTGGACAAAAATTTACATGGATACAGAGAATAAATGCTGCTATTGAGGTTGCCCGGGGTATTCAATTTCTTCATACGGGGATGGTTCCCGGTGTGTATTCGAATCATCTGAGGATAACAGACATTCTGTTGAGCCATGACCTTCATGCAAAAATTAGCAAATGCAATCTCCCTTTGTTGACAGAAAATAAGAGACTGGTAAGTCGACATCTTTACTTTTCATAATGCCGAAGGTACATAATCAAGTTTCACCATATGGTAAAACTTGATTTGCGTAGAGTACTAATGATACAAATGGCTTATCATTTACGTCAACTTCAAAGACATGCCTGACATTGCCTACTTGTAACGGATTCAGGATGACGTGGCAGTGTCCTCCCATGGATCAAAGGAAAACTGTGGATCGATGTAAGTTTATTTGTACTATTTCTGCACTTGATCTTGACTGGAGGCTTTTATATTTCTGTACACTTTTCAGACACTGATTTTGATTTCATTTCATTGATTATGCAGTATTTTTGAGGCATTACTTGGCTCTATATCTAATAGCGGGCTTCATTTTTGTAATTGTCTTGTGAATAGGTTAAGATACGGGGAGAAAAATGACGTCTATGATTTTGGTGTAATCTTACTTGAGATCATTGTGGGCAGGATGATTGTCTCTGAACATGATGTCGGTGTCTCCAAAGATATAGTAAGTTTCTTGTCCAGTACGAGGTTGTCAATTGCTCTTAATTACTACAACCACAATCTGAGTCTTATTCTCAAAAGTTTGGGATCATCTACACAATCCCTTTTCTCCTTTTAATTTGGTTCTTTACTACTTCAAGGAGAACTCTTACTTACTATGAATACACTAGGGATTTGGTGCAGCTCATCTAAATTAAGAACGCCCAAATGAAACAATTAAGGATTTATGTCATAAGATGTAACAAAGTTTTAACCTTCCACGACCTTCCTCTACTCGATTTTGGACTAGCTATGTGGAAACGTGGCCAAAGTTCTAGTAACTTGCTAAAATATTCAAATTGGCGTACCAAAAGTATCATCAGGAATTCTTCAAATAGTACGAGGAATAGTACTTTTGACTTTCTAACATGATCTTACTTGATACTTCTTCAGTTGTTGGTAAGCCTATCAGCAGATGATAAAGCTCGTCGGAGTATAGTCGATCCAGCAGTGCACAAGGAATGCTCGGATGATTCGCTGAAAACCCTGATTGAGCTTTGTGTGGGGTGCTTGTCAAATGAACTATCTGAGAGGCCTTCTGTTGAAGATTTGATTTGGAATCTGCAGTTTGCAGCTCAAGTCCAGGCTTCACAGCACCACAGCAATACAGAGTCACCAATTCAAGACATCTGAATAAAATTTACAGTTTTTTATTATCTGAGTTGTGTGTTACAAGTGGAAACAAGGTTAACACTATTTGCTGTATTGGAGGATAAAAGGCTACTGTATAGTACTAATCTGCATCCAAGCTGAATTTTTATCATCTGTTCTCATTTGTCCATTTTCAACATTGCTCGATGAGAACCTAATATGAATATCGTCCGACTATTATCTGGTCTTCCTATTTACATTTTATAAGCTTCAGCTCATATGGACATTGACCATTTTGAAAGACGTCTAGAAGGAGAGCCATACACTTAGTCGAAAATGAGTCTCGCGTCTTCCCAATAAAGAAGAGCCAAATTCATGTAGATAGCTCATTTGTAATAGTAAACAACAATTTTCAAGGTCGTTAAACACACAAATGAGTACCACTGAATTCAAGTACAAATTGTAAATTGTTAAAAGTTAAATCACCAAAAGATGTC